GGAGCGGGCAGAGCGTGTATCGCTCGAGCGGCGCTCACGGCACCGCACACCCGCCTCTGCCTGCGGTAGCGTGAGCGAGGGCAGAGGGGGTGCGCCCGGTGCGATCTGTATTTGTGGTGGGGAGCACCTGCCAGCGGCGTAGGAGGGAGAAATCGAGGTGAAAGTTAATAACATTTATTTGGAGCGCGCTTTGATTGGTTGCTTCGCTCCGTTTGTCGGAGCGCGGATGTGAAACTTGGCGCCCGAGCACCTGCTTTCAGAAAGGCCGCTTGGATTCCGCGTCATGCACGTACAGGTTTTATTGCTCTGGCTGCTGACGGTGTCGGGGCTGTTTGGGAAGGCAGGGAGATGGAAGTTAATCAGTCTGCTTTCCGTTCGTGCTCCTACTCGCATGTATGTGGCGGCTCCAGGCTTTAATCCTGCAATGTAGTGACATCGTAGGAGATAGTTGTGACATCAGTGCTGGCATCGGGCATCACTGGCTAAAGCAGAAGGGAGGAGACTTAAAAAAAAAAGTAATGGTGCTTTTGTTAAATATAGTATTGAATTGCTTCTCTTCCTGTCTCTGTTATTGTAGTTTCATAAGCTACCTTTTATTTTTTAAAATTAAGTCAGTCTGGCCGGTTTGCTCTTGGTGCACGTTTTAAATGTTGTGCTGCCCTATCATGTGATTTATTTAAGAAGGAAGCAACTGTTAAAAGTAGAAATGGTATTGACTCCCTTCTGTTGACACTTGGAAACAAAACCATGTCTTTCTCAAAACATCATGTTATTAGAATGCCCACTTCCATTGACTCAAGGGCGATAATATATATGTCTTTTGGCTTTTTTTAAATGAGACCTTTTTTTGCCAGCAACCTCTGGTGTTTTTTTCTATCCCTCTTTCAATTTCTTGTAGCCACACACAGCTTGTGAAGTAGGGAGTGGGGCAAGGGGAAACTTTTCGGATTCACTTTATGGCAGTTGCTTTCAAGTTGTTGTGGACTATGCTAAATGCTATTAATAAAACTGCAATTCTCTGTGAAATGTTTTATATCCTAATTTTACAAGGGGCATGTCAAAATACCATTTTTGAAAGTCATCAGAGGAGACTATTTCTCAGTTTGGTATTGGTGGTAGCAGTTTGTGAGTAGCCATTTCTGCCTTTTGCTTCAAGTTCAACCTATGTTACTTACTGCTTGGTCACACAACTGCAGAGATAAGAAATAAACGAAGCAAAGCTTTTAAAATATGACCTTGAAATTATAAAGTTTGGTAGGACATTTGAAGAAATATATACCTCAAAATGCTCTTTATCTCCTAAAAAAAACCTTAACGGCCTTCATCTGACAGTACTGTGTGTATATTAAAAGCTAGAAAACAATTATTAAAAAAACTTCAAAAGATATTCCTTCTTTTCTAAGGACTATTAAACATTTGTGTGCGTTTGGTATAAATACACACTTTGGGATTGGTATTTGTCAAGAAACCTTGAATCTGGAGCTGGATTGGATTGTGTGAAAGGTCAGTTCCAAACTTAGAAGGTAGGTTTCTCCATTTAATAGATTGCAGGTGGATGAGCTTGGTGTAGTGACCAAGAAGAAGTAGTTTGCAAAGAAAGCCTGGGGTTTGTGGTAAGGTATTTTAAAGGATGGAGACTATAACTTAGAGGTAAATAGATTTGAATTCTGAGCAGCTGTTAATTATTCAAATAGCTGAGTTTTTTTTCTTTTCGTTGTTCTAGTCCAAGAAAAAAGGTCTGAGCTTTGAGGAGAAGAGAGCTCGCATGATGGAGATCTTTTTCGAAACAGTAAGTAACTTGTAATTATCCTGCATTTACATTGGTGGGAAAGCATGTCCTGAAAGGAGCTTAACTGCAGATCAACTCTGTATCCCAGTATGCATTTCACTGATGCCCTGTGTCATCAGTTAATAAATTACAGGCACAAAGTTTCCTTCATTTAGCTTCTAATCAGGTGGATCATCTCCTGGTGGAGCCAAGGCATGGACATGCACAGATGTGTTAAAATCTTTATGTGCTACCTATGCACATTGTCTCTTTTTGAGTCTTGTTACCATAAGAGGGACAGTAGGAGATTAGGAGGTAGCTCACTGCATTTTAGGGGAAAAGGAAAAAAAATCTGAGTGTTAGAAAAGTTGAGAGCAGACCTAGAAGAGGTCCTTGGGGGGAAGAGACCTGGAGATACAAAAGCAGAGCTTCAGTTGTATGTTATCCATATGTTATCCACCGTGTTTCACCTATTAAAAAAAGTACTGTGACCCAAGTACTTGAGCAATGTGGTGCATCTGGTGCTGGCAATCTGACCTGGGCTCTGTGTGCCCTAAGGGCTTTATGGTCTAACTAGGCAAAATATGGTGACTTTACAGTACCAAAGGAAAGAACAGGGCTTGTTACAATAATAGTATTTTTCTTATTATTTAATTCTCAAGAACATTCCAGTTCTGTTGAGGAATATGCAGCCCATTTCCCTAGCAAAACCAAAACATACAGTGTATTTTCTACTTGCTGTTGTTGGCATTGATTTAGTATAAGAAACACTCAGGCTTAGATGATGCTGTCATTTGGAACTAAATTGTCTTTCATGTTTTGCACAGAAAGATGTGTTCCAGTTGAAGGATATAGAGAAGATTGCTCCAAAAGAAAAAGGGATTAGTAAGTGTTTATGAAAGTTATTTCCCTTGAACCATTAATCATTTTTGGGGCAGGTCAAGTAGCGTAAATTTTCCTGGCTACAATTTTAGGCCTGTGGTTGTAATAATGGAAAAAATATCTAGAATGGGAAACTGGTCAATGGCAGGGCTGTAGTGTTAAAAGTGACATGGGATGGGGGCTTTCCTAGGCTCTAAGTTGCTTGACTTGCAGTGACTTTCAGTGTATGAAATCATTATATGCACTCGGGTTTTAAAGATCTGTTTGTAATGTCATAAATATTTTAAAATGCTAGTCCAAACATACACCAACAGTGTTCTGTTGAGCTGTTCCCCTCCAAAAATGGCTGGACAGCTGTAGATGGAAGGAGTTTTTCTTTTCAATGAAAGCCTTCCTCATGAGATCCATTGGTTTAGGATTAGGTCCAAGAGGATTTATCTTATGCTGTTGAATTGTTTTATATGTTCCTCATTCTTCTTCCTTCTATGTTCATTGACAAAAGGGGGGCAAAGCAGAATGTTCATGTAGTTACCACTGTCCTTGACTGTCATATCTTGGTGGCATTGCAAGAGTAAATGAACTTGCTGAAAGAACTGCAGATGTAAATATCACAAAGCTGAGTTTTTCAATTGTGTCAGCAGCTAACAGGCACTCATGGGCTTCTGAAGAGACGTGGTGCTTGTCTTGATTGGTTTGCAAATGCGTATATTCAGTTGTAATTTGTGGTAAATACAAGCAGTAGAATTTAATATTTAAAAATCAACTGTAGAGTTTCTAAAACCATTAACATCTTTGAATAATCCAAAGTCATCCAGCCTCTGCATATGAAGGCATTTAGCCACACAACACAAGCCCCAGTTACTCTGAAAAGAAAAATGACTAGCCTGTGGAAAGGCCCCGTCCTGGCATCCAACCTATGGCTTCCAAAACATAGATTTTGATCTGGGATCCCTTTTAGACTAGAAATTGAACATCAAATACCAAAACCCATAAATGAGCTCCAAAGTCTTTATATCTTCAACACTTGAGGATAATATAACGATTTTGCTTTGTTAACAGGCATCATTTTTTAAAATGGTGACTTATACCACAGATTTGCTAAAAAATTATCAATTATGTTCAGAAACGCTTTGGGTCCTTGTAACTGCAGGTGAGGTTCTGTATTGGAACAAAATCAAGAGTAGAATCTGTCCCTCCTGAGTCTGTAGACACATGGCTTTAGTACCTCTGCTGCTATTAAATGCTTTGATAAGCATTATGAAGTGAAATGTAATTACACTCCTAATCAAGAAATTGTAAATTAATCCATATTAAAATTAAGATTGCAGACAACTTCTGAAGTACCTCTCATGGGTTTGTTATGGTATTGTACTGTGCTATGCGTGTATGTTGTATGGTACTCATGAGTGGTGTTTTGCAAATAACTGTTAGCAGATGTGCAGAATAGCAGTCTTGAGGAACAAACTGCTGATTTCAAAGAGATTCATGCTTTCAAGGGAAGCTTCTGGCATGGTGGGTGTCCTCTTGAAATCTTCTAGCTAGCTGACTAATATTAGAGTAAAATATTCATACAGGTGATTATAGATGGTGGGTTGTTTATTCATAATTCTCCATAGTTTAGATGCTATGCAGTTCTAATTTGATATTTTTGCTTTTGTTAGCCTCGATGTCAGTGAAGGAGATTCTGCAAAGCCTAGTTGACGATGGCATGGTGGACACTGATAGAATTGGAACTTCCAATTATTTCTGGGCTTTTCCAAGTAAAGCTCTTCATGCCAGGAAGCGTAAATTGGAGGAGTTGGAGTCTCAGGTAAATTTATTTTATGAAAAATACTTCTTTATCTGAATGGGTTTGCTTTTCTTATACCCCCTGATCATTCTTGTTTATATCTCTTGTGTACAAATGTACATGCCCACACACAAAGATTTTTACTATAGGAATTATCTGTCACACATGGTAGGATGTTCTCATTATCTTACTGTCACATCAGAAAAATGTTGGAAGTTCTTGTTGGAGCTTGAGAACACTTTTTATCTATTTGGTGCTGGAAGTATGTTATTCATGATGCAAAGTGTCATTTAAGGACTCAAAATATTTAGGTAGTGTATGGTTTTGTGTCTCTTACATAATGTAGGCCATCCTGTGGTAATAATGTAAAAGTCATGAGTGCTGAAATGCATAACCTGAGTAAATGTGGCAGTGGTTTCTCATTATGGCCATTGTGCTTTCCTCTCTGCTTTATCTATGGCTTAATTTGTGAGCACTTCTGTAATCCCATACTGTACTTATAGTAGGAGAGAAGAACAAATTGGTCATGAATCAAGGAATCAAAGAATGGCTGAGGTTGGAAGGGACCTCTGGAGACCATCTAGTCCAATTCCCTGCTAGAGCAGGTTCACCTGGAGCAGGTTGCACATGATCACATCCGGGTTATAAGAGAAGGAGACTCCACAGCATCTCTGGGCAGCCTGTTCCAGTGCTCTGTCACCCTCGAAGGAAAGAAGTTTTTCCTCTTACTTACATGGAACTTCCTATTTGTGCCTGTTGACTCTTGTCTTCTCACTGGGCACCACTGAAAAGAGTCTGGCTCCATCCTGTAGACACCTGCCCTCACAGTCATCTCTTCTCCAGATGCACAGGCCCAGCTCCCTCAGCCTTTCCTTGTAAGAATAGTGCTCCAGTCCCCTCATCATCTCCATAGCCCTCTGTAATTGCTTGTCTTTCCTGAATTGGGCAGAGCACTCCTGATGCAGCCTCACCAGGGTGGAGTAGAGGGGAAGGGTAGGCTCTTCTGCAGAAGAGCAAGGCAGTCTTTTGTTGCAGCATTGCTGTTCTGTTGGTCTGGTTCTTAACTACTTCTTAGGAACTGTCTTTCTTGCTTCTTCTAATGGGAGTGGGAAAGCATCTGTTTTTCAGTTTATTTGCAACGGGAGTATACGATAACAAGATCAACAAAATAGATTTATGAGACCATGTGTGATTGCACCACAACACTGCCAAGTTTTCCCGTGCTTATTTAGCATTATAGTCTTTAATAAAAAAATCATTTGAATTAATGCAAAATTATTGGTAGCATCTGAACATTTTTACAGACTTTGTTTTCTTCAGGCATAGCTCTGGTATCATCATGGCCTTCTTATGTGCAGTGTTGTCAACTTCAGCTACTTCATTATATTTATACAATTATATCAAGATAATTAAAAAAAAAAAAAGTTTTTTTCCCCAGCTTGAATTGAAAAAGGAGTTTGATTTAACTGGATATAGTTGCACTGTTTTCAAGGATGGACTTAATCTGGCACTACTGAGCTTAAATTAATTTTTATGAACTGGTAGTAACAATGCACTGATTCTTACTCCAGTGAAGTTTCATCTGTCTGAAACAAGAGATTAGTTTAACTCTGCACTGACTTGGAACTGAATTCCCTAGCAAAGTTACTCAACTTACTAGTATATTCATGAAAGTTTTAGATCAGGCTGTTTACTCTGCCAGAACATAAATGCCACCTGAGCAATTGAACAAATACATGCCAGAATTCTGTCTCTGTTCACCAAACGGTCTGGTGCCATTGTCTTGTTCAGTGCAAATGATTTGCTCTTGTGATTTTTCTGTTGTTGCTCATACTCCATATTATACTCAAGTAGCTGAATGAAGGAGTTGGTTGGTTCTCTGCCCTTGGGCCTAGTCCCATCATGAATTTCAAAGATAATTGGTCAAGCAGGTCTCTAGCATACCCTGATGAATGTCTTGCAGAATCCAACTAATGTGTTCCACCATAAATATCCTGGAGTTATCTACAAAAATATGCTGTACTGCTTTAAATGTACTTTTACATTATTAAACACAAAACCGTCTATTATTGTGGAATTATAATAAGCATGTAGTTACTGTATTGTAACATCATTTTATGATTATTTCTGTGTAGGAAGTAAACCATGCTGATATGAACAGTTTTGCAACATAAAACTATTAAAAAGAAATATTTTTATACCAGACCCTCATTTGCAAACCAAGTCCTGCTCCTTGTATGTGGGTTTATTGGTATAAGAGCTCTCTTTAGACCATGTTATGAGTCTTGTAAAGTACTTCTATTCATTACCTCGCTTTTCTGATGAGACTTGAAATGTTTCAGCATTTCAGGGAAAAGCATTTTTACTAGCTGAACATAACTTCCCTGTTGACACAGTGGAAAGATGGCATTTTCAATTTATAGCTCTCTGAACATTTTTACAAGATGATAACAGATTCTGTCTGTGAGTTCAAATTAGCTGTTTTGGTGTTTGTAGTCTTCTTGATGTGAACACATACAGATTTTCTTAAGGGTTTCTAAACCCAGTCACCGTGTATCACAAAACTTCCTGTCAGAACATGTAAAGCAGAAGAAAAAAGTCAGCTATTTTACCATTTCTGTTGCATGTTGCCTTTGATCATTCCTGTATACAGCTTTTGGCATGCTGAGAAATATGCTTTGTTTCTGTGTCTTGTCCAGATTGATTGGTAACTTGTGAGTTGGTCTCCTTCTTTAGCAGTTAAAAGCCAGAATCAAGCTGCCTTACTTAAAGCATGTTTAAAAATCCAGCAGTTTAGTTCATACTGCAGTTAAGGCTTTTTACCAGGAGACAATATCTTTGTCTCCTGAGGGTAAATAGTGAAGGAAAGGAGTGATCCCTAATGCTGAACTAAGACATTTGAAAATAATTTGGAGGAACAGAACAATCTTCTCCGTGATGCAAATCCTTCTATTAATTCATATCACTGAGGCTTAGGTTTGACAGGTTGGGCCTGCTACAGGACCTTTTGCCTGCATACATTGGTACTTCAGCATGTTCTAGACAAGTTGCTCATAGCATTCTGTATCTTACAGAACTTGTGATTGTGGGGAGGCTGGTTTGGGAACTGTTCTTGAAAGAGTTCTTTTGTTTCAGATTTTTTAGTGATTAATAAGCCACACCCCAATTTACTCAGTAGCAAAGAAGTCTGACTCAGTATTCATGATGAAGAGCAAGCCAGTTTTGCCCAGATGTTTGAAGTTGCACTTCACAGGGCTTCTGGTATACCCTAGATTTTTTTTCTATAAGGATATATGACATCATTAGTGTGATCCCTTTGTGCAGCGCTATGACAATTAAAAATAATGCTAAAGTTTCTTGACAGCTCACCTCCCTGACCCCACCTTTCAGCTTGCTTTTGTGGGGGCAGGTGTTTGGAGAGGGGCACTAATCCCTGAACTTATATATGTGGCAAACTTGTGCTGATCTAATTAGGTTTAGGATCTTGGTGCTGCCCTCTAACTCAGAGTTACTGTTTGGACTTCTTCCTGTTTTTCTGAAAAGCAAGGACAGCAGATGCTTCTGCTGCTGTTTTTTCCAGTAGCTCACAGAGTAAGAGAATTGCTAAGTAGGTGCCTGTGGAGTTTGTATTGATTTATTTTGCAGTGACATGGCTGCTTTTAAAGGTTTATACCTTCTGCCAGATGTTTGTTCTTCATCTCTTGGTTATGCTTATGCAGCTGTGAAGGGGACCACTGAAAAAGTGAAAGAAGTTGGAAGTTGCATTGTAGTTAGATGGGTTTATACACACATTTGGTTTGTTTGCATGTGGCAGTTGCATTTAGTTAGATGGGTACAGCTATGAGATGGTGAAACCATAGCAAGGGTGTGGACTGAGAAATACTGTTTTAACAATGTTTGTAAGTGAAGAAATTTTTAGTGGAACCTCACCTGTCCAGAGAGCTGTGGAAGCTTTACTGGCAGGGTGCTTAGGTTGTGAGTTTTTTCCTTTAATAAGAAAAGGATATGGTTTTATTCTTTATCAGTATTTTCCTGCTGTATTCTGAAGCTTTGAGTAACCTGTGATCACTTATAGTTAGATAAAATGAGATTTTATTCTCGGCATAACAATATTGGATGCTTGGGGTTTTTATTAAACTAACAAAGAATTTGACTTGCACCATGTAACAGAAAGATCATCATTTATTGGTGATTCCACTGCTTTTTGTTGATTGTGTAGCCTGCATAAAATGAGGAGACTGGATAATGACAGCCATGTTCAATCTTGGGCAAGAGCTGCCAATGTGTTTCATAAAATTAGCTCCCTTGCGTATTTGGGGTTTTGTATTGTTCTGCTGGATGTGTTGTTGCAGAAGGGACATGAATGTGAAGGATATGTTGCCTGCTAAAGAGGAGAAGACGTATGCAGCCAAAAACTTGACAACAGTGTTATCAGGTAGGAAATGGCCTATCAATGAGTGAGGAAAAGAGAAACCTTTCTGATGTAGCCGTAGTATAAACAGATTCAGCTTAGATTTTCTTTCATTTTTTCGTCTGTGTCTTGGGTAAACACTTGCAACTGTTCTAGGTGATTTAATGCTGGTTTGCATTTTGCTTTGTAGTGGCTTCAATTAAGCATTAATTGAAGTAACTAGTAACAGTGAGCCTTTGTCTCACAAGGGCTGATGAGTCTGCAAACCATGATCCTCAGAAGCCATGAGGAGTGTCCCATCTCTCCAGCACGTTGTCTGCCATAACCAGTGTGACAGAGGGCATCTCAGCTGGAGTTGCACAGGGCAGGTTTAGTACTGACATGGCAGGGCCTAAGGGAGGCAGAAGCAATTTCAATGGTCCTTGGTGACATTGAAGAGTGTCTGGCATTCAGTATGACAGGCATATATGTTGGAACCATAAGGTTATAGAGGATTGCCATAAGCATAATGTAGTACTTTAAGCAGATAGGGACCTGAAATACCAAGTACTTCAAAGATATTGTGGTTGTTAGTGTAACTATTGAGAGTATTGGGAGTACTGTAGTCCAA